TTCAACTGATGTTATATGATTCCATGGCTGGATTGTCGAAGCTGGCAGAGAGTCAGGCATTTATTTGACTTTGGCTGCCCAACTTCCTCCCCGAGATCTCTTTCAAGAGGGCTTTTGTGGTTAAGCAAAAGATGTCTAAGCTGCTGGAAAGGACATCCAAGCAAGTATGTTTTTGCTTCCCTTTCATCCTTATCTCTTATGGGAGGCACTATTTGCCTTAAAAATAACTACAATACTTTGTATTGAACTAGATTAGATTTGTTTAGCTTTCTGATCTCTGCCTTTGATTGCTGCGCATTGATTTCCCAACCAGAATCCTCCAGTTACATAGATAGGAGCTCTCTGATGCAGTGGCTGGCTCTGATCCTACTTTCAAAGCATTGGGAATGACCTTAAAGTCATTTAATGATACTGTCCTGCTAGGTTTGGGAAAGGATTTTGCTGTATAAGTGGATTACATTCACAATTAGTCTATGTAGAAGTATGAAAATAAGCCAATCAAAATGTGAGAGGGATCCTGGAGTCCTAGTGGACAACCATTTAGATATGAGCCAGCCGTGTGCAGCAGCTGCCAAAAAAGCCAACACAGTTCTAAGCTGCATAAACAGAGGGTAGAATCAAGATCACATGAAGTGTTAATACCACTTTATAATGCCTTGGTAAGGCCATACTTGGAATACTGCATTCAGTTTTGGCCTCCATGATGTAAAAAGGATGTGGAGACTCTAGAAAAAATGCAGAGAAGAGCAACAAAGATGGTGAGGGGACTGGAGGCTAAAACATATGAAGAACAGTTGCAGGAACTGGGTATGTCTAGTTTATTTATTTTATTTATTTATTTTATTCGGCTTATATGCCGCCCTATCTCACAATGGACTCAGGGCGGCTCACAACAATAAAACACAAGCCACAATAAAAATAAAGACTAAAATCTAAAAAATTTAAAATGAACCCATTAAAACCCTTAAAACCCCATCATCAGACCAGGTCAAGGGATTTGAAAAGCCAAGTTTTTAATTCCCGGCGGAAGGTGCGAAGGTCGGGCGCTCGTCAGAGCTCCAAGGGGAGTTGATTCCAGAGGGTGGGCGCCCCAACCGAGAAGGCTCTACTCCTTTAATGAAAAGAAGGACTAGGGGAGACATGATAGCAGTCTTCCAATATTTCAGGGGCTGCCACAAAGAAGAGGGAGTCAAGCTATTCTCCAAAGCACCTGAGGGCAGGACAAGAAGCAAAGGGTGGAAACTAAACAAGGAGAGAAGTAATCTCTAGAACTAAGGAGAAATTTCCTGACAGTGAGAACAATTAATCAGTGGAACAACTTGCCTGCAGAAGTTGTGAATGCTCCAACAGTGGAAGTTTTTAAGAAGATGTTGGTTAACCATTTGTCTGAAGTGGTGTAGGGTTTCCTGCCTAGGAAAGGGGTTTGACTAGAAGACCTCCAAGGTCCCTTCCAACTCTGTTATTCTATTTCTTCTAAATATAAGATTCAGGGTGAACCTGAGTTTCAAGAATTGAAAGTCAAGTGTCATGTGCCAGGGAAATCAGAAAATCCAGGCCATTCAAAGATTTATTGCAAGCTTAAGCTCTCTACAAGAATCTGAACTACTAATAGTTCAAGCAAATTAGCGGTGTATAAAAGGAATTCAAGGTAGGATGGACTTAGATCTCTTGTGGGTGCAAAGGGACTCATGACTGATGATGCATTTGACCCCTCCCCCTCCCTCAGGCTCAGCCTGGTCATCTCCTACACCAGGTGGGATGCAAAGAACAGAACACTTTCAATACTTTCAATACTTTCAAAATCATTAACACTGCAGACTTTCAGCCAGATACTTTCAAGATTTCAGACCACAGAATAACAGAGTTGGAAGGGACCTTGGAGGTCTTCTAGTCCAACTCCCTGCTCAAGCAGGAGACATTATACCTTTCCAGACAAATAGCTGCCCAATATTTTCTAAAAAAAAATCTCCACTAATGTAGCACCCACAACTTCTGAAGTCAAACCGTTCCACAGATTGATTGTGCTAATTTTCAGGAAATATCTCCTTATTTCTGAGTTGGATCTCTTGAATGGTTTCCATCCATTGTTTCTTGTCCTGCCTTCTGGCATTTTGGAGAATAGGTTGAGCCCTCTTTTTGGGGGTAGACTCTTAGATATTGGAATACTGCTATCACGTCACCCCTAGTTATTCTTTTCATTAGACTAGACATACCCAATTCCTGCAATTGTTCTACTACAGCCTCCAGTCCTCTAATCATCTTTGTTGCTGTCCTTTGCACTCTTTCTAGGGTCTCAACATCTTTTTTATATCGTGGCAACCAAAACCTGATACAATATTTCATGCACATAACCCTCCTCCTCCAAACACACACACACAAACACAAATTCCCTACACAAGCATGATAATCAATGGTTATTCTGGCATTCTACAGAGGTCACGAGGAGTAGATTGGGATAATTAGCATTTGTCCATAAATTTATTAGGCATGATTTAATTTGGCTCATTTCCAAATCATGTAAATATATAAATTTAAATTTAAATAAATAAATTTAACACAAAATAGTTAGTCGTGAAAGCGACTGCCTGAGGGCTCCTGGATTGGGGCTGAAAGGCAAAAAGGAAGCAGTTATGCTCCTTCCCATATTTGGGTAGACCAGGTTGCTTCAACAGAAAACTATATATATATATATATACATACATACATACATACATACATACATACATACATACATACATACATACATACATATATATATATATATTGTGTGTGTGTGTGTGTGTGTGTATGTATAACGTTTGCATATTTCCATCTTCCTTTAGACTTGAAGGATGTAATGTGTCCTTTTCTCCCTTAAGTACAGATGAAATTGATTGAAGCAACAGTCTAGAATGTTTCCCTGGTGATCCATCAGGCTCCCCCCAGATAGGATTTTTACTGCACTTTTTTTTTTCTCAAGATATTTCTTACTAAAGATGCTTCCCACTGGGCAACTGGATATGCTTTTCAGTAACTCACTGTTCCTGGTTTAGTGAGTTTGCCTTTTGACTCTACTTATTGAGGCATGAATTGGTAAGAATATTTGTATTTGATTGCTTGTCCCAAAGGCCCTTTTCCAAAAGGCAACTGAACTCTCTTGGTTTTTTCTCTCTAAAAATGTTTTGCTTCTCATCTATGAAGCTTCTTCAGTTCCTTCCTGAATGAGAAGTGAAATGCTTGCAAAGGGAAAAAAAAACAACCCAAGAAAGTCCAGTTGCGTTTTGGAAACGCATCTTTGGGAAAACCATGACCTGGATGATTGAGAATCTCCACAGACGTTTTATGGTTTGAATTAACTGGTTCTTCCATTTCCTAGACTGCATTTGTCTGAAACGTTATTTATTATTTCATTTGGAAGCAGCTGCTCATATTTACCTGACAGTAACGCATGGAAAGGAGCATATTAATTGTATGTCATTTCATTTTAAATGTCAAATCAATCAATCAATCTATCATCAATCAGAATAGAGCTGGAAGGACCTTGGAGGTCTTCTAGTCCAACCCCCTGCTCAAGCAAGAGAACCTATTCCATTTCAGACAAATGGTTGTCCAATCTCTTCTTAAAAACCTCCAGTGATGGAGCATCCATGACTTCTGAAGGCAAGCTGTTCCATTGGTTAATTGTCCTCCCGGTTAGGAAGTTTCTCCTTAATTCCAGGTTGCTTCTCTCCTTGAGTAGTTTCCATCCATTGTTTCTTGTCTTGCCTTCTTCTGCTTTGGAAAATAAGTTGACTCCCTTTTCTTTGTGGCAGCCCCTCAAATACTGGAATACTGCTATCATGTCCCCCTTAGTCCTTTTAGTTTGTGGCCTGGCATTGTCCACTCTTTTACTTCGAAGCTACCTCAAACTCCAGCCCATGATTGACCTACAGTTCCCCACCAATACATACTCCTGATTTTCAAGAAATATGTGAAAGACTAGAAGTTAGTAGGATTGGGATAGAAGCCATGTTCAAATGCCATGATGCCTATCAAATCGTGCAAACAATGATTTTCCCTGTGAAACAGCAGGAAAGCAAAACTTAAAGACTTTGAAGAAGCAGGATAGAAAAAGTATTGACACTTTGGAACGTTTGTGTTGGAGGTGATTCCTGAGAATGCCAGGATCTCAATGTGTTTTCCAAGGCTTTCATTATTTCTCTACCAAATGCTATTCTACAGCATATTTCTTGACTGACAGTTCTTTTATGTTTAATTTAATTTAATTTAATATTTAAATTTATATACCGCCCTTCTCCCGAAGGACTCAGGGCGGTGAACAGCCAGAAGTAAAAAAAATCAAATACAAATTTAAAAACAATTTAAAAATAAATTAACTGCCCAACAGTTAAAATCCCCCATTAAAAATTAAAATACACAATTGGAGAAATTAGGCCAGCCCGACTTGATGAAATAAAAAGGTTTTGAGGGCCCGACAGAAAGTACGTAAGTCCGGAATCGTCCGTATCTCCGGGAGGAAGCTCGTTCCAGAGGGCAGGTGCTCCCACAGAGAAAGCTCTCCCCCGGGGGCCGCCAGTCCGCATTGTTTGGCCAATGGCATCCGGAGGAGCCAGTCTCTGTGGGAGCATACTGGCCGGTGGGAGGCTCTCGGTGGCAGAAGGCAGTCCCGTAAATATCCAGGCCCTAAGCCATGGAGCGCTCTAAAGGTGGTCACCAACACCTTGAATCACACCCGGAGGACCACCGGGAGCCAGTGCAGCTCACACAGGAGAGGTGTTACATGGGAGCACCATGACGCTCCCATAATCACCCATGCGGACGCATTCTGGACCAGTTGGAGCCTCCGGGTGCTCTTCAAGGGGAGCCTCATGTTGATAAACAGTCTTAAAAGGCAGAAGGTATACAATACTTCAGTATCTTGATGGTCAGTTTTAAGCAGTATTTTGCTAGCCTAGTATTGTACAATAGTTCATAAATTCTGTTAAATTTCCTTTTTGGGGAGTATGAGAATGTAGACTGACCTCTTATGATCTATTGGTTACTCGTCTTTTGCCATAATTGCTAATGTGGTTTGGTTAGATTCTTCTTCTGTTGTTTTTTGTAGCTATTCGGTGGTGGGTTGCCCCTGGTTTGATCCAGTTCTATAGAACCAGTAGTAAAACCGGCGGGAGGCTCCACCCACCATGACGTCATAATGGGTGACCTGCGCATGAGCAGAAGTGTGCGCACTCCCATTGCGAACCGGCAGTAAAGGTAAGTAGAACCCACCCCTGTAGCTATTCCATGAGTTCCTGTTGTCTTCTGACTTGCAAGGATTTAACAAACTTCTAATATTACAGGTTCTTGTAAGTAGGGAATATCTTCTAGGTTAACTTAGATGTTGGCATCTCTACCATATAGAAGTTCAGAATCAATTATTGTTGGTCCATTGGCACTTGGCCACTTCAGCCTATCAATTTGAGGTTGGAACTTCTTCAGTCCAAAGATTTTTTGGGGGAAGGTTTCCTTTTACTGCATCTGTTTCCATCTTTGATGCCTTTATAGACATTATTGCAATACTTCTTCTTGTCTCGTCTAACATCTTTCTAAGATTCTTTGTGAATTTTCTCCTTGAGTTCTTCGTCCTTCTTGACTTTGGTTTCTCTGCTTGATATCATTCATCATTTGTTCTGACACCCAGTTTCTTCTGTTCCTTGGGTCTTTGGCAGTCTCTTTTCACATTTTTCTTGGCAATTGCTTTTATTTCATGCTACTCTTCTCCAAGTTCCCTAACAATAAGGTTCAGGATTTCAAAGCAATTCCTGGTGTTTTCTTTGAAAATGGAGGGCATAGGCCTAAGGTCATATTGGCTTTGTTCTTCTGCTTTATTTTAGAACAGTATTTCTCAACCTTGGAAGCTTGAAGATGGGTGGACTTCAACTCCCAGAATCCCCCAGACAGCGCTGCTGGCTGGGGGATTCTGGGAGTTGAAGTCCACCCATCTTCAAGCTACCAAGATTGAGAAACACTGGTTTAGAACTTGCACATGAGCAGTTATTATCTCTAACATATTCAGCTCTTGGTTACCTCTTTGCTTTATAACTGAGCTCTTCGTGAACTACTAATATTGATTGGTCTACAATACAGGTAGCCCTTGACTTACAACAGTTTGTTTAGTGATCATTCAAAGTTACAATGGCACTGAAAAAAAGTGATTTGCGACCATTTTTCACACTTACAACCATTGCAGCATCCTCATGGTCACCTGATCAAAATTCAGCTTAGGTAACTTACTCACATTTATGACGGTTGCAGTATCCCAGGGTCATGTGATCCCCTTTTGCAACCTTCTCACAAGCAAAGTCAATAGGGAAGCTAGATTCAATTAACAACTGAGTTACGAACTCAACAACTGCAGTGATTCACTTAACAACTGTGGCAAGAAAGGTCATAAAACGGGGCAAAACTGACTTAACAAATATCTCACTTAGCAACAGAAATTTAGGGCTCAGTTGTGGTCATAAATCAAGGATTACCTGTGTACTCTGTCAGGTGATGCCCAAGTACAAAGTTTTATTTGGGTTGTTTTGATGGCTTAGCAATGACGAAATCATTAGACTGACAAACCAATAAGTTATTCTCCTGCTTCATTTTGGAAAGAGGGCATGTGAATCCTTGCTTATATGGATCCTTGCTTTGCCCATTCAGATCATTTTCTGTCTTTCCCTGTATGAAGAAATAGTGCCAGGATTTGCACTATCAAAGAATAATCTGGCACTAGGATGAACAGATACCTTCTTAATTCACCGTATCATTTACCTTGAGATAGGCATTTTGGGAAGAATAGATTTTAGGGTAAGGAACTTTGATCACTTCTGTTCTAACTTCTATGAAATGTTCTAAGGGGAAATTCAATTCCTGAACCACAAAATTGCCCATTATAATTTAGGGATCCCAAAGTCCTGATTTTTTCCCATCCCCATCCCCTATAGCAGTGATGGCGAACCTTTTCAGCACCGAGTGCCAAAAAGGTCGCATGGAAATGTCGTGCGCATGCTCATCTGGGCTGTGTTCCAGAAAAGCTGAACTTCCCGGTCCTAGCGCATATGCGTGCCCGACTATCAGCTGGCCGGCACGCATGCGCAGGCTGGTTTTTGGCATTGCCGCACGTGTGAAGGGATCGCACTCCAGAAAAGCCAAATTTCTGGGTTCTGGTGCGCATGCTCACCAACTGACAATCAGTTGGCCGGTGCGCATGTGCACACCAGTTTTTGGCACTGCTGCGCATGCAAAGGACAGCTGATCATTGTGCACACATGCGTGCCAGAAACCTGGAAGATAAACAGGCAAGGCTGCGACATGGCTTTGTGTGCCACTTTGGGCATGCGTGCCATAGGTTCACCATTATGGCCCTATAGTATGAAGAAAGAGCAATTGCTATAGACTTAAAGAAAATTGATGAAGATCACCTTGAAATTTCAAGGGATGGATGGATGGATGGGAGAGAGGGGGGAGAGGGAGAGAGATGGAGGGAGAGGGGGAGAGGGAGAGAGAAAACAGAAGATGAATAGATAGATAGATAGAAAGATAGATGGATGGATGGATGGATGGATGGATGGATGGATGGATGGATGGATGGATTGGAAAGAGAGGGGGAGAGAGAGAGAGAGAATTTATGGAATATAAATATAAATAAAAATGTAAATGAATTGTAATGAGACCAGCAGTGCTCCCAATTTCATTGAATGAGCTTTAGGGCAACTTAAATAACTTCACACCCTCAACATCATGGGGATTCCAAGTAACAGCCCTTTTTCCGAATCAAGTGACTCAAGTTGTTTGCAAAGCTCCTTGTGTTACTCAGGTCTGGAGAATGACAGCTTGTTGTATAGTAGTTAACAGGAAAGTTGGCACATTCTTCTTTTTACATTTTAGCTTCAGGATATTTGGAACAATGCCCGGTATAGTTGCCACGGTTGCTGTTACTTTTTCCTCTTTCTAGACACTTTGAATGGGAAGAGTTTGGATAGAATTAGAGCTACCCTCCTGATAGTGTTGATGACAATAGAATGATGGAGTTGGAAGGAACTTTAAAGGATATCTAATCCAACCTTTGTTCAGGGCAAGATGCACTACAGCACAGTGGTGAAATCCAAATTTTTTTACTACCGGGTTCTGTGGACATGGCTTGGTGAGCGTAGCTTAGTGGGCGTGGCTTGGTGGGCATGGCAGGGGAAGGATACTGCAAAATCTCCATTCCCTCCCCACTCTGGGGGAGGATATTGCAAAATTTCCAATCCCACCCCACTCTGGGGCCAGCCAGAGGTGGTATTTGCCAGTTCTCCGAACTACTCAAAATTTCCACTACCAGTTCTCCAGAACCTGTCAGAACCTGCTGGATTTCACCCCTTCTACAGCATATATTGTATATCCAGCTTTGTTTGGAGACCCCTGGAATAAAATTTTTAAAAAGCTTTGTTTAAAAACCTTTAAAAGAAGAAAAAAATAAGAATTATAAGGAGAGAAGATTAAAAGTACAATATATATATATAACAAATGTATGGAGTGGAATAAAAATGTATATAACACAAATGTAGAAATGTATAATATTAAAGATATAATTAAAATATATAGATCTCTATAGGGGGAGGGAAAAAAAGGAAAATGAGGGGAAGAAGAAGAAGTAATAGATTAAGATATAGGGGAAGAAGAATAAAGTAACAGATGGAAGACCATTATGAAACAATGCTTAAAAATGATAAGATACTTATATGTTGTATGTAATGTAAATGTCATATATGTGTTTTAATAAAATTACAGATTTTTTTTAAAAAATAAAAAGAAGAAGAAGAAGAAAAAAAATTCATTTCATGAGGTGGCTTGTTCCACTGGCTAATAGTTCATACGCCAAAAAGTTCCTCCTGACATATAGTCTGAATCTCTTTTCTTGTAGCTTTAACCATGGGTTCTGGACCTGCCCTTTGGTGTAATAAAATCCACTGCCTCTACTCTTGGATATTTTAAACCCTCCTTTGGATGCAGGTAATCCTCAATTTACAACCAGTTATTTAGCGACCAGTCCAAGTTCTGACAGCAATGAAAAAACTGGCTGACAACCAGTCATTGCATTTGTGGCCATCGTAGCATCCTTATGGTCACATGATCAAAATTCAGGCCCTTGGCAACTGGCATGCGTTTAACACGCTTGCAGCGTCCTAGGGACACGTGACCCAATAGTGGGTTCCTCTTACCTTTGCTACCGGTTCGGAACCGGGGGCGCACGGTGCTTCTGTGTATGAGCAGAGCGTCTGTGATGACGTCCAGGCGGGTGGGCAGAGCCTCCTGCCACCACCACTACCGGTATGCCTGAACCGGGGCGAACCGGTAGAAACCCACCACTGACGTGACCCCTTTGGTGACGTTCCCAGCCAGCTTCCAACAAGCAAAGTCAAAGGGGGAAGACAGATTCACTTCATGGCCCTTTGAGTTCAATGATTCACTTAACAACCCTGGTCAAACAGGAAATAAAATTGAGTAAGATTCACTTACAACTGTCTTGCTTAGCAATGGAAATTCTGGTTCTAATTCCGGCCATCGGTTGAGGACTACCTATACTTCAAGTGGAAGTACTTGAGCTATTTTGGGGTGTTATCAATTTTGAGGCTATTTAACAGGTCACATTACTTACCACGTTATTAAAAACAAAAATAATGTACGGCAACCTTCCAGCTAGAAGCACCTGAGTTAAACCATTCTTGCAAAGTGGTGAAAGTATCAACAATATATTGATTACTTTCTTGTTTCTTCCTCTTCCTCTTCCTCTTCCTCTTCTTCTTCTTCCTCCTCCTCCTCCTCCTCCTCCTCCTCCATTTTTTCAAAGCAAATCATCAAAACCCTTTTTCAGTCAAGATCCTCAAAACAGTCAAGGACATCTGCCTCTACCCAGGATCGAACTCACGGCCTCCTGATTGTGAGGCGAGAGTTCCACCTCTAGGCCACCGCACCACTCAATAATGTACTGGATGTGCTACTTTGAAATTCAAATCTGCAATGCTAGGCACATTTGCAAAGAAGTGCAAATCCCATTATGTGCAAGCACTTACTTGTGAAAAAAGCAGCTGTGCAATTGATCAGCAATTATCACTATTTCTACAATGCCTCAAAGCCTG